AACCGAACAATGTTCTCTTAGAGCGATCCATGTGTAAGGGCAAATGAGTTATAAAGTCTACAAGAGCTCATATCAGAAAGTGAGTTAAAAATAATATGTTTAGGGCCATTTTATAAACCGCCAGTTAAAAGAATTTAAACTAGTGGTTAATGTGATATTTTATTTCACTGAGACGTCTACTAGTGTTGCACACTATAAGTTTCCTATTAAATTTGGTTTCGATTTGCTTTTACCCACTTAAAACTTTTTATCGAATTCAATACAACGATGAGGTCTACTTTATGGTTGTCTGTAGGAAAAAATATAATTAACAGTTTCCTTGCAGTTGGTGTTATTTCAATGTAAGTATAGATACAACAATTAAATTCAAAACGCAAATAGCTAACTTATAACTATTGTAATACTTATACATTGTGATTATGTAATATATCATAATGATAAATGATAAATGCTTATGACTGTTCTACATGACTGTTATAATTAGTAGCAGTAGTAGTGAAAAATAAGTTTGGTTCAAAAACCTTATTTATTTCCAACAAGTCCTCTATAGCTTCTAGTTAAACTAATTAATCAAAATACTCAATAGTGGATGTTAAAAAACTTTTTTTCATTGTATATAATAAACAGTTAACATAATTGGTTCTTAAATTGAGTACAAATTCTATAATTTATAACCGTTTTTGTTTCAAAGACAATTTCCACGACAAACAGATAAAATAATGTGAACATCAGTTATGCTACATAATTATAATATTATTTAGCCTTTTTATTAATATTAAAAGTAATAATTTATAGTTTCTGTGTTTTATACTTGTACGTTTCACTTGAACACATTTCATTTATGTAATTTTAAACAAATAAATTACAATGATAGAATAGTTATTGAAAAACATTATGGTATCACGAGCGAAATAGATTAAAAATATACAGAAAGTTCAAAATGAATATATTACCTACAATTTAGGTTAAACCAATAAATGCGTTTGAAATAATTGCAGACAACAAATATTTTTTTTATACGTCTACTTCGACTTCAACAATAAAAAGGCTTACATCAATTTAACCTAATAATATAATGTATAGGTGTTTGCGTCAATGCTGACTTGGCCGTGTTGCTTATGGTTGCAACGTTGTACAAAGTAAACTATACACACAACGGTTTTATTGTATCAAAATATTATAATGGTAGGATATTCGGTTTAATAGTCGAGCAAACAGCAACACACTATTGCAACACGGTTTTAACCGTCTGTTTCGTGTACAGTTTGTAACGTGGCTTTGTGCATTGAGTATTTTTTTTCTACCCCATCTGGTTACATCATACTATTTATTGTGTTAACATTTCTATGTATTCGCTGAGTTCCGGTGCTTCTGATTTTGCAAATAGTATTCTGTATCTTGTCAATAATACCTAACTGGTTTACATTCCACGCAGCCCCGCCAAATTCTAAATACAGTCCCTGGATGGTTTACAATGTTTTTAAAATCAGGGTATAAACCACCCCTTAGGGCATAAACGGAGTTGACAAAAATAGGGCCAGATAACTCACTACGCAATTTCATTAGTTGAGTTTGGTTGGTTAAGTTCCCATTATTATGTAAATTAGGTTATTTATGCTTCTTGATATTAGATTGATATCTAGGTCGTTATTAACTATCTTACTAGTTGCACTCTTTAAATAAAGTTTGCTTATAGTTCCATCGTCGGTAAGAGGAGCAAAAGTGTCAGAATATATTTTTTTTATAACTTCAACACCTTATTCAAATTGTCCATTAACATTTTTGGGATGTGTCCTGGTCAAATTGTAAGCCCGTCGGAGTTCTTATGAATAATCCTGTTCAACTATCTAAAATTTGTTCTGCATTAATAATACTTCTTTGTATAGATTTCATTGAGCTGTGTCATACATAAAGTTTATAAGTTGACAGTATATTTGTAATATGAATAAATCTTTTGATGAATAGGTGGTAGAGGAGAATAAGCTAGTGTTTTATTACACGTTTCTGGGCTTTTTTAGTAGATTTGACATAACCGTTCTGCGAGTACTGTAAAACAGCACCTCCCGGATGTTCTTAATTTATTCTCTATATATTCTATGTGCTCTGTCCACTTCAAACAACAGTCAATTAAATTATACCCAAGATCCTCAAAGGACACAACCGCCTCCGTCAGGGTTACAGTTAAAATTTGTTCCGTTTAACCAACATTTGTGTACAATAAAGTTATAATAATATCCAATAAGGTATTGTCGACACCTTGGAGGGGGGTTAACGTCTTACGGGCGAATTTTTTGATTATGGGTGGTTTTTTTTTTGGAAATTCGCCACGATGGGCGGTGGTCGAGATAAATCATTTAGGTACATATATTATTTTTCGCAACGGTCGGTCGCAGGTGAGCTGACTTGGGCAACCCACCGAACAATATGCGGCGGTCATTCTGAAAAAAAAATAATAATAATGAAATTTGCTCGCTCTAGACCTGCGAATCTGTTCCCTTTGGCCGTCCACAATGAGGGTCCGCGATATGTGAATTAAGACGCGGCAAGACCTGCTAAAAGGAAGAAATATAATAATAAGTATATATTATACGGTTTCCGCGGGAGTCGAACGATTCGCCAATTCCCAGCACCCTTTTTTGGCCGCGTTCTTTTTACCTAAGACATACAATGATGTGCGCTGAATGAAAAAGGATTGAGACGTACCGCAGTACAATACAGGTTGAATTACACATATACCTACCGAGTACACGACCTATATAATATTATATGTGAATCGACGGCGAAAGAGTTAAGTCGGTTCCCACCGCCGTACAGCAGATTTGTATACTTTGAAAATAAGTTGAACCGTGTTAAAACTGAGCTACCTTCCCCGCCCCCCTAGCTAATACTGCCACATTACCACTCGTATCTTATACCTTATAGCGGACGACTTTAACGGAAGCGACAAAGGTATTTGGTGGGCAGAAATCTAGGTTGGTTCTTATAGTTTTTCCTTTCGACCCAAATGTTTGTGGCAAACGCTCGATGGAAATAGTCTAGCATTGGTAATGATATTGTAATAGTAATCGTCCAAGACCAATAACCACGGTTCCGTTTGGCAAGACATGGCTGGACGGTGATGGACCGTGAAGATTTTCCGAGTCAGGTCATGGATGTCGCCGCCGAAGATATGCGGTAATCTCGGTGTATAGCCGACAGGTGTGTATTGGACGTACCGGATAGATCATCAGAAACCTCAAAAAACCGAAGGTATTGGCTCCATCGGTTTTACATTACCTATTATAAATTGTATATTATTATAATAATATTATTAGGTCGGCGGTATTATTATCATTTATATGTATGTATATCGGTTTTATCCGTTTCGGGTGAACGGTCGTCGTCGAAGGAAATCATTTTCGTTTAGGAACGCTTTGGACAAAAACAAAAAAAAACTCATCCGGCAGATAAACGCTGTAACGGATTGTCAGTTGGAATATTGTTGCCATTGCATGCTCAGGTGCGCATCGTTCTATGCTAATTAACCCGTACATCATATGGTGGATTCCTATATTACAACAGCACCATATCGACCGACCCAGTTACACCGACTCGACATGGATACACGGTTGCAGAGAGTCGGGAAACCCTGAAGAAGTTTAGGTCACTTTTGCACCCCATTCAACTATCCTGTGTTTCTTGAATGAACAGAACCCTCTACAGGACAGCAACTGGTTTGTTTAACGTCAGGTAAAATAGAAGGGTAACAAAGCGGGGTAGTTCTCTCATATACCTATAGTTGCATTGTTCGGCTCTTTTAAATGTCCCTTGTGGGAATAAGGTTGTCTATAGTTGTAACAGACACGGGGTTGTTTTTTTTTTTATGAATTGTTCGAATAATTAAAAATCGGTCAACAGGTTTTGATATTTGCTGTTTGTCCCCTCGATGGTTAGATCAGAAGTTCCGAAACGATCACTTAAGTGTAATCTTTATTTCAACGAGTCACCCAACTGGGTTTTTAGTAAAAATCATCATGTTATGACATTCTTTTGCGCAACACATTGCCGTTGATAACTTTGTGTGTCGTTTGGAGACTCTTTGGAGTAATTTTTTCTTTTCTCATATAATACACAATAATAATTACTGTTGGTCGAATATGTCCGAATAAATCCGCGACATGTCCTTTTTGCGACAAATCCCTCAGTTGTCAGCGATTGTATGGGGTAGTTTTTTTTTTGCGGGGACGTTTCTGATATGTATCACATTTATATATTTTTTGTCACAAAGAAACGAAAACGGGGAACGTTATACAGTTGACCGGTTTGGCAGGACTGTTCCTTGTCTATTCAATGGCAAACGCAAAACAATATAACTAAGCTTATGATATGAGCAGGGTATGCAAGTAAATAATTGAAAATTCCTTCTTTTTGTCAATAATATTACACAGTTTGTCAGGGACACGCATGAAATCGAAAACGGCATGAGTATGATCCTAATCCTTGTATTGTTGTCAAACGATTTCTAGTGATAAGTCTGTTTATGAGGATACTATGCTACTGCGGTTATTTGAATTCATAATTTACTCTAAACTATTCTGTACCATATTTATTGCCACTGTATTTAAATTTCTTTAGATAAACCAAAAATCGCGTTGTATCGAATACATTTGTTTGTATATTCAACTATACAAATATTCAACTAAACTTTCTCAATAAAACTTTTATACCTGAATATTATTTAATATTACACTAGACTGAATTGCATACAGATAATGTATAATAAAAATAAGTACCGCATTTCCATAGACATTTAAAAATAACCAAAGAAACTAAGGTGTGGATCTAGAAGTAGAAACAAATAGTTAGAATAGAAAAGAAGTTAATCTAATACTTTGCTTAACCGGTAGGTAAATATTTATTTTGTTAGTAGACATTTAGTACAACAGCTATGGACATAACTAAAGTAAATTATTAAACAAATGTGTTGTGTTGAATAAGTGTTAGAATATCTGTAGGTACAAATAACGACGGAGAACGTTATACATTAAAAAAAAAATACATTTAGTTATAGAAATAATATTAGGAAAATAAATTATCTTCAGAATGTGATACATATTTCTGCATTGTAGTTTTGAGTTTTTCCAATCTTTATTGCAATTTCAATCCGAACCTGCGATTAAAACAATAAACACAGTCGTACTATTATTATTATTATTTTAATCAAACAATTGCAGTATTATAATAACTGCTTTATCAATTCAAAATTAAGTTTAATTAGCAAAATTTTTGGATTGTGGTTCCATTGGTTTTTAATCGAAAAACCCCCAGTTTGAAATTGTATTTAACTTTTCAATAAAAAGTCATAATCACTAAAAATGTTACTTACGTTTTCTACATTATTCCACATTCTAAAAAAAATATATTATTATTTAAACAAAATTGTCGTATAATAATTACAATCAGTTGATACATAAATTGTTGCTTAATTTAAGTTTAAAACGTGCAGGATCTTTATTATGGTTTAATAAAAACATACAAATATCTTAATATTAAAAAAAAAAAACAAACTGTAATTTTTCTTATCAATGATTTACTGTTAAATTTATGAAAAAACTTACTTGATAATAGTGAAGGTTGTGAGTCTGAAACGGTGAAAAAATAAACTTTAATACTTATGTCGTTAACAGATAGCATTTTTTTAAGTATAACTAACCAAATATTCCACTAAAAATTATTGTTATTTACATGTTTATCACGAAAGGAGTTTATATAAAAATTAAAACTGTATTTTTTTAAAATAAAAAACATATTTTCCCCCTTTTTATGTAAAGTTTATCATGGTAATATTTTATTACTTTCAACTTTCGTTTGTGGATTATGGATCAAACCTGAAACATAATATTTAATTGTATTTTATCATTTATGATCGACCAAAAAATAATGGTCATCAAACAATTGAGTCGAAATAAAAAAAAAATCTAGAATCATAGTTAAATAGTTATTGTTCAACGAGGTGAACTCTAAATAAAATGAACTGTTGTGTGGATATTGTTCTCATCACTTTTAATTTTAAAAAGTCCACACCATTTTTATTCGAATAAGAGCTGTTATAAGTTAGATTATACCATTTAGTAGGTATTAATTTGAATACATAACAATAGTTGTTGTATTCACATCAAATACGACAATAACTTCATTTGTTTGTTTTAATAAAAGTGTTTTTTTCACTGAATTTATAAAATTTTATTTATTGGGATCGTTTTATGCAATGAAGTACTTTTTGATGAAAGCATCATCAAAAAGTAAACAAAAATTATAAGAATAACATTTACCAGCAACTGTAATTGTAGTGTCCGTTGGATCTGCATAAAAAACAAATATTTTTACAATGTATGGCTAATATACATTTTAAATTGTGTTAAAATGAAAATTATTTGTTTTTCAACCGAAATTATCTGTCAGCATATTATTTTGAATTTCTTTTTTGAAATATACATTTTAACTTTTTTTACGCAAATTTTTGAAAATAAATCTTACTTTAGTTTTAGAAAATAAAAAAAAAGTTATTTCCTTAACAAATAATAATAATTGTTTTTAATATGAATAATATTAATTATATATTATTGAAAAAAGTATTAAAACATTTATTGATTTTAGAAAAATAAAAAGTACGATTTCATTTATTTTATTTTATTAATATTAAAAAAACATGTATGATTTAAGATATTAAAATATATCTTTAAGAAAAAAATGTTAAACGTTTATAGTTTCTTCAATAAATATATAAAAATAATTTTAAATTCTTAGAAAAATTATATTTTTTTTTTTACCAAGTTCTATTTTAGAATACTATCGAATACTATGACCCCCCTTTATTTCATCATTGACAATTTTAATAAAATGTTGTATATTTTATATGTATATGAGAACCTACAAATATAAGAAGTTATAAGGAGATATATAAAATGAAAACTAATGATATTCTTCATGAAATACATGAATTTTGTAAAGTTTATCATGAAAAGAACTTACTATTTTCTTCATTAGCTGTTGATGCTGTTGGCTTAGTTTCTTTTACTGCGTATAAAAACAAAATGTTACACTGTGTAAAGCATTTGTAACACTTTAACCTTAATTAAATATTATGTCTCTCCTTTGCCGTTAGGTACATTTATTTTCATCATTAACAATCTCAATACAATTGATAACAATTTATAGATATTATATTTATACAATATACAATTAAACGTATAACTTACTGTTGGCTTGATTGAAATATGAAACATGAAAAAAATAAATATTATAATATTTGTATACCTAAAACGTACTTAACCAACAATTGCTCGATTATTATTAACACCCTATCTAAGTCCTAATTGTTTCATCTACGTTTTTCTCTTATTTAATATTAATGGGATAAACATAGTTTTGTCGAGTACGGTTAAGCCTCCGTCGAAGTTTAGTAAAAATAAAATAATTTTTAAATAAAAATATAGAACCATACCAAATAGTTGAAACCTAAATACTTTGAGTAATAAAAGTCGCAATTTGATATAATTTATACTTGGCTTAGAATAAGTCACAGCCAATGAAAAAGGAACTAAAAAAATAAATGATACATTTACAAAACGAATTTACTTTATCGAGTAATCTAGAAAAAACTTATGAAAAAAGCACTTAACACTTGACGTGGTTATGTAAAATGAAGAAATATAATAATCAAGTTTATTAAAATAATTATTGATTTTAAAAATATATTACCACCAATTGCAATTACGTGTTGGTGTTTTTTTTCATCTGCGTAAGAAAACATATTATTACACATTTAAAATATTTGTACCATTTTAGGATTTCCTAAGTTCAAACAGTATGCCTCCCATTATTCCATTTAAAGTATATTTTTTATAAAGTATGCTCTAATATCCGTATATAGGTACTGTATTAGACTGACCCCATAAAATGTCAAAATTTGAACTTCATCGGACAAAATGTAAAAATGGCTCAAAGCAATTTTGTCTAATTGATAAAAATGTGTGAAGATATTTTTTCTTACCTACTATATATTTTTTCAATTTTTAATAGTTACTATTGTTGGAGTGAGTTGGTTAGAAAGATGGGAAAAAACAACTTCAAATAAGTATATTATGACATCGACAACTGACATATAGGTATAGGAAAAAAATAATTTTGTAAAAAATTTATATTTTCTAAGAAATTGAACATATTTGGAATTACTTTTTTATATATTGTATACACATATATATATATTTATATGTTTTTTTTTACACCTAACACAGTTTAAATCAGAAGAATCACACAAAAAAATAAACCATAAAAGGCAATGATTTAAGTCTCATTAACTTCATACTTAATTTGGCTTAAGACATTTCTCCTTAAATACTAAAGATCGTTTTTAAAAACTGCTAGTATACTAATTTCTGAACAATAAATCCAATACGTTTTACAATCCTTGTCATATTACATTTTATAGTTTATAATTAACCGAAAATCCACGAAAAATAAATATTTTAAATTTCAATAAGGATGAAAACTAATTTAGGAGAGTTAACGATCATTATACACTATATATATATAAATTAAAATATATATACCAATAAAATAATATTGATAAAATTATTATGTTAATAATTATTTGAATTGAGCTTATAGTTAGTTTTATAATTTATAGTCAAGTAAGTTATCGAACAAAAAATTGTTTAAATTAGCTAAAAAAGAAAAAAAAGAGTACAATTTAATATTTAAAACTTACTGTCGTTCCCAATAACACCTAAAACATGAACAAATTAAAGATTTATGATACAACTGTATAAAGAAGTAAAAGTATTTTGTAATATCGATTTGGGAAACTTGTATATTTATTTTTTATTTCTAACAATTATATAGTACAAAAGTTTTTATTTTGTTTGATAAATCATAATACATATAGTGAAAAAATAAAACTATTTTTTCCAAATTACAAATAAATTAAGGAATTAATATATTTTTTTTTATAATTTTATTTTATTTTAAACGCAGCAAAATTATATGGTTATATTTTATACTAATTATTATTTATGTTTATTACCTGAAGTTATTGTCTGAATAACGAATACCGTTATTGTTAAAAAGGAGACGATGCGTGTAAAATTCATATTTTAGATTTAGTATATTTATTACTCAAAAGAAATTATTAAATGATAATAAATTTTTTTGGAATAAAAGCTTATGTAAAACTGCAATCAAGTTTAATACTATACTAAAGGCAACTGTACATTTGCAGGTATCTGAATTTCTTTCAAATGAAGAATTTGATAAAATTGTTTGTTTAGATGTTTGAACAGTCGTTTGACTTGGTGCCATGGTGGTGTATTTTTTGAGATTGAACATTTTAGCTTGTTGTTTGTGACATGCATACTAAAAATATATAACATATATTTTATACAGAGACATTAGCGAAATAATTAATGTCGTTGACTTAAAAATTGTTTAGGCTGTGGCCTGTGGGACACTTGTACACGCGTAAAATAAGTTTAAACATTAATATTCACAGTAGGTTTTATATGTGAACAATTTTCAAGACCATAGCTGTTGATCAAAACCGAAAACAAAATAACTTGATCGAAAGCTATTTAGTTTTTCAGATCATGGAAAGTTAAGTTTTAGAGTTATTATTCATTTTTACACTCTAAAACAATAAAGTTAAAAATTTCATTTCAGAACAACCAAGAAGGGTCGAACGATAGGGTTAACGGTAGCAATAATGGTTGTGGAATTCAATGTTTATATATTCATTCCTTTACTATATATCCATAAGTTGCTTAAAGTTTATTCATTTAAATAATAAACCAACCATTTGGGGGAGAAGGTCTCAAGTCTTTAGGTTTGTATTATTATTGTTATAAATACAAAACAACCATATCACTATTATATGAATTCTAATGTTACTACGTTTGTGTAAGTCAACAACAGCAATCGTTTAGAATTCTAGCGAATAGTGGTTTTTTTTTTTTAATATTTGTATAGTACTCGATATGGGTTGTATTACAGCTTTTGCGCAAATTTTAATATAAGTCGTTGAATGTGAAAACGGCTCTAGGACAAATATTGTGCACACGAAAAATATTAAAAATTTTAATAATCGCAGTAGGTATATGTGAAAAATTGAGAAAACGTTGGTTTTATCAAGTTATTCAGTTTTTTTTTAGTTCTTACTTGTGAAAATAAAAATAATTTTTGTTTTTTTTTCTAACTCTAGAATTGGTATAATTATTGGTTGTCGAACTAAAATTTGCAAGCCTGGACATAAAAACTAAAATGTCTGGTTTTTAAAAAAAAAAAAATAAACGATACATTTTCTTACTTTAAGCGCAGACTTTTTGTAAACAAGCAATAACGAATATTATATAATTTTAGAGACAGACCATATTAGGTAAACTGTCAAAATAAAATGCTTCGACTAAAATCTACGTATGGTCTGAAATTGCAAAAATAAAAACATATGCGTGTACCTATGTGCCTATATAAATGATACTTAATGTAAGGCAACTCGATATGAATACCGTTTAAAAATCCGCAGTTGAATAACAAAAAAAAAAAAAAAGATATATATTTGTCATTTTGAAATATCTTTACATTTTTGCTATGAGATGAGCAAATTTTTTTTTTTTTGTGTATATTTGTTACTACTATAAAGTTTTTGTATACACTTCGTATGTAATGCCTTATTAGTCATTACAATATTTTCTTTGTAAATATTAAGTATTGTAATTATTTATACATCAGAACCCATTGCACATAACGTTTGATTTTCTAAAAATTGCCATTGCTACGATTCACTGTTAATTGCAATTTAGGAAAACAATTTTTATTGATTTAAAGAGTGTTTAAATCAGAAACCATAATTATATGCTTAAAATTAAATACTTTCTCAGATAATTGTCTAATCAGATGATAAATTACATGCATTGCATTTTATCGAGTTGTTTTTTTTTTAATAGAATCATTTTTTACCTACAAGTAAAACAGTTATGATTGCCCAAAGATGTTTTATTACTTTGGAATTTATTTGGAAGTACCATTTTGAATGATGGCAGTAAAACATTAAATGTAAAAAATAAAAAAGTAAAGTACAAATAATGCCACGAGTTTTTATTATAATTGAAAATAGAATATTATAAATGTATATTGTATATTCATTTAATATTTTATACTTTTATTTTGTATTTTATTGTTATTAAATTTGGAAAATATTTATTAAATTGCTGTTGCTTTTCTTCTACTTTTCTGCTGACCATCTTTTCTTGATTTAGAATTTTGTGTATTGTTAAATGCATTAAACGAATTTTCGTTGTTAGAATTCAAGTTTCCAATATTATTCTTATTTGCCACAAAATCACCTGCTGTGAAAAAAACATAAAAACTTTAATTAATGAAACGTTACGCCAATGTATTAGAAAGCCTAAACGATTATATTTAACACATTTTTGTACTATCTTTTACTTATTAAGTTCTATTAAGTAAGTCATTAACTCCTACTTAATTATAGATATTTTTTTATTATATAAAATAAAATATTAAGTTACCGGTAAAAACTAATTGTTTTTATTAATAATTACTTAGTGTTTTTCCACTACCGTCAACATCGGCTGGCTTCAAAGGATTTCCTTCTGCATCTGCTGGAACTTTCTTCCCGTTAATTGTGAAACCATCCTTTTCATTAAATTGTACAGACGGATTAACTGTATTTCCAACATCCATTGGAATTTTTTTGCCGTTGATCACCACTCCACCGTCGTATAAAGATATATTTGGACCTGTTGATAGATAAGCTGGATCTTAAAAAATTATAACCATCACTACTACATCTTTGATTAATAAATTAACTATTGGCATTAAAAACGAATAATTAATAGTGATTAAAAAAAAAAACAAAATTCGACTTACTGCCATCGAAATAACAATTATTGCGTACATTGTTCATTCCTTTATATAGAATGCATCTATATTGTGGTTCTGCTGGTGTATTGTCTTCGTTTACGTTACCGGAATTTACGTTTCCAAAATTACTCCCATGTATCACCCAATCGTCTGGAAAAATATTAAAATTTAAAGAAAACTATTATTAAGTTTTTAAGTTATTGTTTTTTTAGTTTTTTTATTATAACTCTCACTTTGATTTTCAAAACATACATCCACATCGAAGCTATGAAAATAGTTTTTAGTTTTAAATTACCTGGTGTTTTCCCGCTACTGAATGCTTCTGGTGGGATTTTTTGTCCGTTGATTATGAGTTCGTTCTTATCGTTAAAGTTTACAGATGCTCCCTGTGTTCCCGAATTTGTTGGAACTTTGTGGCCGTCTACCAGGGCTCCATCATCATTAAATTGTATATTTTGATGATTATTCAAATTAACTGTAAAAAATTATCATAACAAGATATTTATGATAGATGATCTTGTACAATTTATTTTAGTGTCCAACTGTTTTTTTTAATCGATCAGCAAGTCAAAAAAAATCTTAAATAGGTATTGTAATACAGGTAATGGTACAATAGAGGGATTGGAGACAAATATCATAGATGCCGTACACTTAAAGAAAAATAAAAACTATAGGAGTGATAAATAACAAAACTATTATAGAGTTTCTAAATTATTGTTTTTTAAATTTTTTTATTATAATTATTATTAAATTTCAAAACATACATTCACATCGAAGCTATGAAAATAGTGTTTAGTTTTAAATTACCCGGTGTGTTCCCGCAACTGGTGGTTATTATTAATAATTTTCCTTAATAATTACTTGGGAGTTTTCCACTACCGTCAACATCGGCTGGATAGCAATTATTGCGCCAATTGACCGTGTGTTCAGGACAAATGACAATGAGTTCGTTCTTATCGTTCATTGTTATAGTTGCTCCCTGAGTTCCCGAATTTGTTGGAACTTTGTAGTTGTTTCCCAGGACTCCGTCATCATTAAATTGGTTAAATTGTGTTTTTTGACGTTTAGACGAATTACCTGTAAAAAATTATCATAACACGGTATTTATGATAGACGATCTTGTACAATTTATTAACTTTTTTTTTTTTTTAATCAGTAAGTTTAAAGAATCTTCAATAGGTAGTACGGGTAATGGCACAATAGAGGGATGAGAGACGAATATCATAGAAGTCCTATACTTAAAGAAAAACGAAAACTGTAGAAATAATAAATAATTATAAACATAGGGGACAATTTGTTTTACAAATAAGAGGGCAGCGTCAAGAACAACAAGAATTGAACTCACGGCCATTGCCATTAATGTTTCCATTGTTATTGCCATAGTTATTAAATCTGTTGAATGGAAAATTATTGTTGTAATTCATTCTGTTCATTTGTGGTGGTGATGGTGGTGATGGCGGAGATGGCATTTGCTGCGTCATGACTGGTTGAAAGTTATCTAAAAAAAAACACATAATATGTAAACAATATTGTGTCAGGTTAGAATAAAGAAAACAACTATCATAGAGTTCTTAAATTTTTTCCTCATCTCAAATACCGTGTTATTCAAATCGGATGTACCTAGTGCCAATAATTATATTATATTATATTACCCCAATATGGTTGCCAATCGCTGCTAAAGGGCGATGGCGATGGTGATGCTGGCGGTGACGCCACTACAGGTTGAAAGTTATCTAGAAAATTATTTATGATTTTTCAACTATATTTTCATACTAATAAATGCAGTTTTAATTCAGAATAACAGTATCAAGTTTCATGATAATTATTTTATTGTTTCAAACGAATGCTACTCTATTAACGACGGTTGTAAAAATTACCCCAATAGTTTTTCCATTCGCTATTGTCATATGATGGTGACCCATACGATTGCGAATACCCTAGAAGAAAAAATAGAAAAAAATTATTTAAACAGACAAAGTAAATTATAACAAATCTCCACATACTCCTATTGTTGTTTCTACGTCTGTTCCGGCGATTTTGCATACGGTTGCTGTTGTTTGCTCTATTGTTTTGTTGTGGATAAGTTTGGAAATTCTGAAATTGTATATAATAATATACAAACATTCATAGTTTTCGTCGCTTTTTTCACTCTCATCACTTACATCTGTCGCCGAAGAATTTTCATACCAGTTTGTGGTCGTACCCAAACCTCTGGCTGTAGTCAGTTGAATGTTTCCAAGACTGTCATTTGTTTTGAAATCGCCAACTACTTTGTTCTTGCCAACCATGTTTTGGGTGTCTTGAAGCCCGCTCGGCATGAATGGTTTACCGCCTGAAATTCAAGAAAAAAAGAAAAAAAAGATTGATATTCCACTTTTCCATAATATTATAGTCTTGGGTGGTAGAAAATTGTTTTAACATGATAGTTTAGAGGTGGATAACAAATATTTAATTAGTCTAAGACCTAATTAATTAACCTAACTATATTACCATCGCCGAGTACATTATTATCTGCGTTTCTAAAAACAAAAACCAAAAATTATTTTAAATAATGACAATTGTAATTTTCTATTTAACTAATAATTTATGTTGTTTGATATACTCACACCGTGGTGTATGTCGCTAGACAAACGAAAAAAATTAAACAAAACCTCAACATCGTGTTGGCTTTTTTTCAGTGTTAAACGATTAACAGTAGTTGAGAAACTTAATGGATTACGGCTGTGATTAAGTTTCCGTTTATATATGCACAATGTTCAGAATAATTACTATGCGTAGAATAATTAAATTCACAACTTGTGGCGCAAGTGTTTTGGTTAATTGAATATGTTTTGTTTAAATAAATATTTTATTACTTTTACTTAAACACAAAAGGTTCAATTATTACGTTTAGTCATTAGTAATATTGTATAATTTATCAAGACCATATTTCTGGTAAAAGTCGTATTGTACATATATTTTTTTTCAATATCTAACAGACTTGCAAAAAAAAAAACGGTCATGTGTTTTAATTTGAGTCGTTTTTTAGAGTACAATATATTATGTTGTTAACGAAAAACCTTTTATGCTCTCTTTATAATTGTGTACTTATTATAACATACCTATAATATTATATTTTAATTTATGATGAAAATCGAGTAAAACTTGTGCCGTAACCAGAAGACGTTTAATTATTAAACGGAATTTTGCACTGGGCCATTTTATGGTTTTCAATTAAGGTTTTGTTATAAACTAAAAACAAAAAAATTCATAATAACATAGTTTGTTTTCAACAATAAGTTTTGAAGTTATACATTGTGCAGTATTAGTACTAAATGTACACACCGTTTCCTACAGCTTATTACTAAAAATATTTTTATTTGAATGTATTGTATAGAATAGAACTAAATATTACAGGTTTATATTTGTTAAAATGTATAAAGTATAAACAATTAAATATACGACTGCCGCACTTCTGTTGACAGTTAAAAGTATAGAGTAAAATTGAGGGATGGATTGAGAAGTAGATGCGAATAGATTAAATAAAAAATGACAACTTCACTTGTAAATATTTATTATATTGATAAACATGTAATGGCACGAAAATCGACATATTTTTATTATATATTAACAATTTTGTTAGAAAATCTAAACGTTAACAAAATTATTATAAAGATTTAAAAAAAATACATCAAATAAAATAGAATATATTTTATTGTCATAACTTGACAGTTTTATTTAATGTGTGAATTAACGAATTTTCCAACAATCCTATTACTCAGCATCTACTCACCTAGATGAAAAAAAAAGATATAATTAAAGCAACGTTACACCAATTTATTAATTTCCAAATTTATTTTTAAAAATTTTACTAATATACATGCTCTCAAGATATCAAGAGCAGTACTTGATTATTTTCATTTAATCCAATTCTCCACTGTAACTACGCTAGCATAAGAAATACATTATCTCGCTTATGATTTATTTGTATAAAACTCTCAAAATAAAACATAATTTATTTGATGACTTGCTGTGCATTACCTTAAAGATGAGCTGGATTCTCTTTTCCTCTAGCACCGCAATTTTTCAACCAACCAATAAATCTCTTTATAGCGCTAATCACTCCTAGATAAACATTTTCAAACTGTAATTAGTGAAATCTAGCTACTTACTAGAAATCATCAAGTTGGAAATATTTCTTAATAAAACTATAAAGTTATTTAAATTTGATTATTTGAAAAATTTCAATGCTTTAATTTTTTTAGACATTAAAATGAAAATATTATTAATTAATTACTTGCCTATATTTACAGGTTGATTCGGCACATTTTCGTTATTCAATCCAGTTTGTTGCACTAAGATATTAATAATACATGTAGAATATGTCATTCTATGTTATTAATGAGAAACAAAGAGGTGGCAGGGTAAAGAATAACAAAATTTAGCTCACGGCACTTGTACTGCTACTACACGTTTTTGTTACTTTTTAATAAATTTCTCTATGATTTTTAAAACACAAATCCCAACGGAGATAACACAAATAAATATATTTTATTTAAATTACCTGAGGTTTGCCTACTGCCGTCAGTATTAGCTGCACCTAATGGACGTTTTTTGACATCTTCTAAAAATTGTTTTCCAAAATATTTGACTATGTTTTAATTCAAATAAAATGGTGTGCTTAACCTTAATTTCTATTCAACTACCTACATTTTTTAAGTGGCTAACAATCTAGTAAATATTTTGTTGGTCTACTGGAAATTTAAATTATAGGTACTTAGAAGAATTTTTAATAACAAAAAAAATAATTTACACAAGAATTATTGTACTACATTTTGTAATATATTTTTTTTTAAGATATTCTTAATGAAAAAACAAAGGACAATTGAATATTTTCGATATTTTAAAAATCTTAGAATTAATGTCGTTAAAACCGTATCTTGAGAAGTAAAACAATGAAAATTGTTCATTCCTTTAAGATAAAAGAGTTTATAATACTTAATTGGTTTTATCTACTACGTACGTCAGTAGTTCTATAATTAAACAATATCCCACAAAAGTTTGGAAGTATCTCAAATATGTTTTAAAGAGGTTTAAAGTGTACACGTTTTTCTTATTTTTTAAAAATCGCACTATGATTCTCAAAACGCAATTCTTAACGAAGCTAAAGAAAATAAACACATTTAATTTAATTACCTGATATTTCCCCACTACTCTCAGTATCAGCTGCATTCAATGGATCGTCGATCACGGCTCCATCATTACCAATATTAATTTTTGGACCATAAGTAAAACCTTCTGTAAAAAATACCATGGCAACTGGTTGAAAGTATTTTTTTTTTAAATTATTTTGTGTTACACCACTACCTTTTGTATCTACTGCCTTTTTTTTCCCGTCTACGAAGGTTCCCGCATTATTATGAATTATCTTTGGATTATAGGTAGAACCAACTGTAAAAAAATTACTTGACATAATATTTGTCTTATGTTATTAATTATAAACAAAGAGGTGACAATTGTAATCTATGATTCTCAAAACACAAATACCAACAAAGATAAAAAATATAAATATATTTTATTATAATTACCTAATCTTTTTCCACTGCCGTCAGTATTAGCTGCAATTAATGAACTTTATTTTACATCTTCGAAAAATTGTTTTCGGTTCTTTGTGAGTTAAACATTAATGTAAAAATATAATTTTAAAAGTAAACCCTTTAATACAAAACTACGTAGACAATTAAAACTAATAAAATACATATAATAAATGTGTTTATAATCGAGTCATTTGATTTTTGGGGTACTAAGAAAAAAATATATTATGACTATGTTTTTATCCAAAAAAGTGGTAAGTTAAAGCACATAATATGTTAATGTGTAAAATATATTTTTTTTAAATTTAAAAAAACAAACCATCCTCCCCAACATTAAAAAAAATGGTTATATTTTTCAAATTAATTTAATTTTTGAATCTAATGACCCCAAAAACATTAGGTCAAGGATATGATAAATTCTTGAACTTTTATAAAAATTAATTACTCACCACTTACTTTTAATTTAACTACCGATACCTCAGTAATGTTTCATATTATTTGTCTAATTGTGGTACACCATTATACCTACACTGTACCCAACACCACACATACACCCTAATGTTTGTACATTTTATTAAATTGTAAGCTTACCTTGTACAGGTGCACACCTAACACCTAAAACATAAAAAATAAAACATGCAAGTACATTTGTAGTACTAAAGACATTATGATTCAAATCAACTTTTATCTAACTAATTATTATGCAAATAAAAAAAATTTGACGAAATGATTTATTCAGAGTTTTTTTTAAATATTTTACATTTCTTAGGATGGTTATTTTACAGTTGACATAATAACAAATTAATTTGTATAAAAAATGTTAGAATAAAATTGTTATTCAAATAGATCATTCGAATAAAAATTAGTTTACTTTCGAAAAAGAAATGCCCAAATCCGGACACTACCTCAAAATGTTATATTTATCTTCTAATGGTTATTACCTGTAGTCATTGTGAGAATAACAAATCCTGTAATATATGACAGGAAAAATGCGGTTTTGAAATCCATATTAGACGGAAGAAATATCTTGGAATTTATAAATTATGAACGACACTTAAATTTTTATGTTAAAAGTAAACTGCAAGGTTTACCACTTAAGAATATGAATACTCAACTAAAGCCAACGGTCGAAGACCTTTGTAGTGTAACAAAATTATTTTGTTCAAAGCAAGTATAATAGAAGGGAGATGTGTTTAAAACATATATATGAGGATTATTTATGATTTTAAATGTGATTACAATAGTTTTTAGCAGCGTAAAATCCGTATTACTCATTTTTAAGTATACATTGTGTAGCCAAACAAAATTACCATTTGTACATACAGTTTGTCCCTTCGCAAACTACACGTCATACTGTGACTCACTTGAGAGCAAACATTTTATGAGAATAACAAATGGTGGTGAATACAGGTTTCGGTGTATGAAATATAGTCATTAACAAAACAAATTTTAGCCTAGAAAATCCAGAAAAAAACAATAAAAATATGTTGCATGATCGTAAGACCCTGATAAATAACTATTTTGTACATAAATCGTACACAACATTATTCGATTAAATAGTCCTTTAAATATTCCTATTTGAAACATTTAAAATTATTATTTAAAATTTTATCTAATTTGATTGTACATTGAAACGTTTAATTCAAAGTAATTCTATCACTTTCGGGTATAGCAACTCTTAAGTAATTGTGACCACTTCGTTTCAATTATGCTAAAACACACCAATGGATAGTAAAACAAGAACAGAAAAATCTAATTTTATGTACAAATTCGTACATTATCTTTGTACTGATAACATGTCAACTTGATCATAATTTGTATGTCATCATTTTAGATGTATTTTATGGTATTATCCCGCTATATGGGTAAATCATATATTTATTATTTGCAATTTTTAAAAAAAATTATTTAACACAATTTAAAAAATCTGAAACTAATATAAATAATACCTAACAAGGTTATAGTTCGATTTACAGAAATACTATTTTAATTTCCTCTTAACTTCTCGTTAGGAATTTGACCATATTCAAATGAAGTCTGGTTGATCTGCATGGGTTTTCACATAAAATCAGCTTAACAGTTAATTAACGTTAAATATCTAAGAAAATAACCCATAACAGATCTTAAATCGTCTGGTAAGCTATTTTATAAATATTTACCACACGTTTATTCAATATTATGTCAACGATTTACTAATAAAAATAACTGGGATACAAGCGATAAAGAAATAGTTTGCTTGACTCCAACAATATAAAATACGGTTTTAATCATATATATATTTTTTCATTTTATTTTATTGTAATTTTATCAATTTAATCATAAATTTTTAATTTACACACTCTAATTTTTTTTTCTTGTGTGACTTTATATCATCATGTAAGTTTGCTTGAATTTTGATTGTTTTTGGTATTGTTGTGTGAATTATCACATTTTCCATCAATCCTATTACTCAGCATCTACTCACCTAGATGAAAAAAAAAGATATAATTAAAGCAACGTTACACCAATTTATTAATTTCCAAATTTATTTTTAAAAATTTTACTAATATACATGCTCTCAAGATATCAAGAGCAGTACTTGATTATTTTCATTTAATCCAATTCTCCACTGTAACTACGCTAGCATAAGAAATACATTATCTCGCTTATGATTTATTTGTATAAAACTCTCAAAATAAAACATAATTTATTTGATGACTTGCTGTGCATTACCTTAAAGGTGAGCTGGATTCTCTTTTCCTCTAGCACCGCAATTTTTCAACCAACCAATAAATCTCTTTATAGCGCTAATCACTCCTAGATAAACATTTTCAAACTGTAATTAGTGAAATCTAGCTACTTACTAGAAATCATCAAGTTGGAAATATTTCTTAATAAAACTATAAAGTTATTTAAATTTGATTATTTGAAAAATTTCAATGCTTTAATTTTTTTAGACATTAAAATGAAAATATTATTAATTAATTACTTGCCTATATTTACAGGTTGATTCGGCACATTTTCGTTATTCAATCCAGTTTGTTGCACTAAGATATTAATAATACATGTAGAATATGTCATTCTATGTTATTAATGAGAAACAAAGAGGTGGCAGGGTAAAGAATAACAAAATTTAGCTCACGGCACTTGTACTGCTACTACACGTTTTTGTTACTTTTTAATAAATTTCTCTATGATTTTTAAAACACAAATCCCAACGGAGATAACACAAATAAATATATTTTATTTAAATTACCTGAGGTTTGCCTACTGCCGTCAGTATTGGCTGCAACTAATGGACGTTTTTTTACACCTTTTAAAAATTCGGTTGATCGTGAGTCAAACATTATTGTAAAACATATAATTTTAAAAGTAATCCTTTAATACAGAACTACGTAGACAGTTAAAACTAATAAAATATAATTACAAATCATTCTTTTATAGACAATAAATGAGTTTATAATCGTTTCATTTGATTTTAAAAGTACAATTTATGACCATGTTTTTATCCAAAAGAAATGGTACTTAACCTTAATTTCTATTTAACTACATTTTTTTAGTGGCTAACAATCTTTTAAATATTTTGATAGGTCAATTAGAAAATCAAATTGTGGATAAGAAAATTGAAGATTTTTTTAATATCAACTAAAATTTATAAGTATAACATAATGTCAACAGACAACAATAATAATTTAAACAAGAATTGTACTACATTTTGTAATCTTTTTTTTCTTTTTTAAGATTTCCTTAATGAAGATAAAAGGACGACAAAATTGTTCGATATTTATAATTTCTGACTTTATGTCTTAAACCGTATCTGAGAAATAAAACAATGAAATATGTTCACTCTTGTAAGGTAAAAAGGTTTATGATCCTTTTTTTTTGGGTTTACCATATTACGTATATCAGTAGTTCTATATTTAAACAATATCCCACATTAGTTTGGAAGTATTTCAAATATTTTTAAAAAGGTATGAAGTGTACACGTTATAAACGAAAACTACACGTTTTCTTATTTTAAATATCTCACTGTGATTTTCAAAATACAAATCTCAACGAATCTAAAAAATATATATTTATTTTTTTTAATTACCTGATGTTTGCCCTCTACCGTCAGTATTATCTGCTTTTATTGGATTTCCTAGTGTATCTATTGGAAATTGCATTCCATTGACTGTGAGTCCACTATCATTATTAAAAGTCATTCTATCATTCCCTGTAAAAAAATGTCGTAACAGCTGATTGAAAATTTTCTAAAAAAAAGTATGTAGAAAATATTGTTATACAAACAAATATAATCAAATTGTACGATAAATCTCACTTTTATTTTCAAGTCTTAGATCTACATCGATGCTAAAATAATAGTTTTTTTTTTAATTACCGGGTGTAGTCCCACTATTGTATACTTGTGGTGGAATCGCGACATCGCCGATCCTGAGTCCATCTTTATTACTAATTGTTACTTTTGGATTATAAGACTTATTAACTGTAAAAAAATAGCATAACATAATCATATTTTTGATACGTAATCAAGTAAGATTAATTTTACTTTCCGACTATTTTTTTTTTATCCAACAGCTAATCTAAGAAATCTTAAATAGTACGGATAATGACAAATTAACAGGATTTGAAGATGATAATGTCCTTAAAGTGCATTACATAAAGAAAAAAAAGTAAATTATAGATAATTCTATATTAGATAACTCATTGTCGTGGCCAAAGTTTCCATTGTTATAATAATTATTAAAACCATTGAATGAAACGTGACTCTAAACACATATGACAGTGTGTAAAATCCTTTCTTTTTTTTTTAATTAAAAAAACAAACCATCCTTTCCAACCTTTTAAATAACGGGTTAATTTTTCAAATTGATATACATTTTGAATCTAACGAGCCCAAAAACATTAAGTCAAGGATATGCGACAAATTCTAGAACTTTTGTAAAAATTAATTACTCGCCTTTTAATCTTAACTTAAGTATCAAAACCCAACAGATGTTTTATATTACTTGTCTAATTGTGGTACACTATTATACACTGTAGCCAATACCACGCATACACCCTGATGTTTGTATATTTTATTAAATTGTAAGCTTACCTTGGACAGACCTGCCACCTAAAACATTAAAAGTAAGACACGCAAGTAAATTTGTATCCCTTTAGATATCATAATAGATTAATGCTAAAATGCACTACAACGCTAAGCACACTTTCATTCGGTATCAAGACTCAAGTAGAGTTTAGCATTATTCAAATACATTTTTATCTAAATAGTTATTTCAACAATATTTTTATTTGAATGCCCGATGAATAATTTTTGTTATTCGAATAATTATTATGGAAATAAAAAAAAATTTGATTAAATAATTTATTCCGACAAACAAATTATTTGTTATTTATCTTCTAGTGGTTATTACCTGTAGTCATAGTGAGAATAACAAATGTTGTTATATATGAAAGAAAAAGTACGGTTTTTAAATCCATAATAGACGTACGAAATATCTTGGAATTTATAAATTATGAACGACCCTTAAATTTTTATGTTAAAAGTTAACACCAAGGTTCAGCACTTAAGAATAAGAATATTCAACTAAAACCAACGGTACATATTTTTCTTGCAATTATATCTTTCGGACCTTTACAATGTATGCAAGTTATAACAAAAGTATTCTGTTCAGAGTAAATATAATGGAAAATAAGATTTGTTCAAAACAGATGTATGTGGATTATTTATGATTTTTAATGCGATTAAAATATTTTTTTGCGGCGTAAAATCCGTATTACTCATTTTTAGGTATACATCGTGTAGCCAAACAAAATTATCATTTATACAGTTTGCCCTTTTGCATAACTATACGTCATACTGTGGCTCGATTGAGAGCAAACATTTTATGAGAATAACAAATGGTGGTAAATATATGTTTCTGTGTATAAAATATAGTCTCAAACAAAACAAATTTTAGCTTAGAAAATCCAATACATACGTAGGGAAAACAAATTTGTTATTGGTTTATATACAAAATTTGTTATCGTATACCATTTGTAATAATATTGTATTATCATGCACGCGAATTCAAACACACAAAACATAACTTGTTGGCCAAAAGACCAATCTGTACGAACATCTTCAGTGGTTCAAGAGAGGACGATTCGATCGTCAACAGTGGCCGGCAGTGTACTACTTCAAAAACATTAGAAATTGAACTTGCGGTATTTGAATGACATGATCGAGAAAACTCCAATGGCAACTGCTTTGCTGACAAAATTCGGAGTAAAACTGGCCGAGTAAACTGTAAACAATAGACTGTCCTGGTGGACGGTTCAGAAAATGAGTGTTTATGCTACAGTTTCAGTTAAAACAATTGTTTTATTAAAATTTATACGTGCTTACAAATGTATTATTCTGTGTAGAAGATATATAAGACATATAATGTGATTATTGAAAAATTTAAAGTAATTATCAAACAATTTTATTAATAAAATAACAATATTGTAATGTCGAATAAAACGATAATACATTGGATTGCGTACTTTGCGGTTAAACAGTATTAGTACTGAATGGTTTAGGTGCCGCAAACTAGAATGGATCGTGTTTCATCTTGCCGCGAAAACACGTTCGATTGGTATTGCTGTTCGTATTGGGAAAGTCGCTTGAAAATTGTGGATGTTTCGAGATTGACAAAAGATTGGATCGCTTTGAAATGGACACCAGCAAACATATTTTTTATAACTCCTATTAACACTTTAGCGCACATAATGGGCAATCGTGCGGGATACGTATTCGTTCTTTGGATTGTGTTGCTGATCTTAATTTTGTAAACTTCCGCGATCGCCATGATATATTGCTCATCGAATCTGAACAACTGCATTGAATCAACCGTGTAATTGTTCAAGGAGACCTTTGACTTTTTGCCGATTTCCGTCAACGTTCCGATTATCCGTAGCTGTGATCCGAAGATGATCGTGTCAGTGTAATTGCTCGGTTCAGCATACAAACGACTATTTATAGACAAGTGCAAAAAACCACACCATTCTTCGTAGATTTTGAAAAATCGTTTACCGGCAGAATTCCGATAGCAATCTTTTACAAATCTCAAATCATCCATGAATGCAAAATAGATCCGCATCATGATCGTGGTTAACGCTCGCATAACATGTCCGTGGAAGTCCACCAGCGACAAGACGTACTGTTGGAAAGACGTACGGCTTTTGATCTCGGTGATTTTTATCTTCAGAAACTCGACCAGCACTGTTCCGTCTTCAAACACTCCGAATTTCGTCAGCAGAGCGGTCGCCATTGGATTGCATCACGAAACGTTGACGAAAATGGGCGAAAAGTCAAAGGTTTCCTTGAACAATTACTCGGCTCATTCGATATGGTTAGTCAGCTTTAATGAGAAATATTTAATGGCAACCGCGAATGATTACAATATGTGGATCAGAGAAAAACACGTAAATGCCACGTGGACTACGTCTATCGCTCGACTGCACAACATGTGCGCCAGAGTTTTATTCAAAGTTATAAAAAATATGTTTGCTGGTTTCCATTTCAAAGCGTTCCAATCGTTGGTCAAGCTCGAAACATCGACAAATTTCAAACGACTTTCCGAATACGAACAGCAATACCAACCGAACGTGTTTTGGCGGCAAGATGAAACGCGATCCATTTTGATTTGCGAGACCTAATCCATTCAGTACTAATGTTGTTGGACGCCGCATACGCAATCCAATGTACTGCCGTTTTATTCGAAATTACAATATTGTTATTTAATTAATAAAATATAAAATGGTTATTGACAACATTATATATCTTATGCACAGAATAATACATTTGTACGCACATATAAATTTTAATAAATTAATTGTTTGAAATGAAACTATCGCATAAACACTTATTATCCCATGCATATGTATCATCCACCAAGACAGCTTCTGCCTGTTTTTGGCAGTCATCAGGTCCTTAACCGTCCTACCAGATACTCGCATTCTGTCGTCGGGCATAACGTCGTCCCTCCATGTTTTTTTAGCCAGCGGGATTGCATCATAAGAACAACATAAGGAAGTATAGTTGAACAGCCTTTGCTATATCCGCAAGCAAGTCGTTTGTTGTGCCTCTGTGCTTTATTTCCAAGAAGTAAAAACTATTCTTTGAGATGCACAATCACTGCCAATCAGGTAAATGAGGTTTTTTATTCTTGTTATACAGTAGGGCAAACCATGTGGAATTATAAATAGGGGAAAAACGTTAGTTATCAAAACACTCGGTCTCGTCATTATTTCCATACATTATAGATTATAATAACGAACAAAATGGATTATTGGAACACGTCGCATGATTTGTACTTGTCCATATTTACTTTTAAGCTGTATGTAATAACTGAGAAAATTAAAAAAACTTAAAACTATAATGGTGTAAAAGTGATTATATCACTTCTTGCTATAATAATTTTTGGAGACCCGTGACCTACCCGTCCCCACAATGTTTCGTACCCACCATGTCCCGACCCCACTGTACTGGCCTTTTTATGTTCTAGGTATGATTCATAAAAAACACATTTTGGTTTTTTTTTTTCATATTAGCCTTATGGTTTAATTTAAAGGGGAAATTCGTTTTAAAGTAAAATATTTAATAGATTTGCTTGTTATTATATGTTTTATGATACATAAGCTATAGCCGTTCAATAAGGTGTTTACGATTTCTGAAAAACTTATTTTTGTAATAAGGTCCCAGCAGAAGTTTTTTCGCGGCTTTATTGTATTATTTATGATAAAAACATCAATGGCGTGTACAAGCAAAATATAAACACACTATCATACAAGCTTTTACGGTTTGTTGTTTATCAAAAACGAATGTATTTTAGCGTATTTCGTTTTATTGTTTGTATTTTGTGGCATGATTTTAAAACCCTAATATACCAATAATTAGAGCGAATAACTATTTTGTTCAGAAATATTACACAATATTATTCTATTAAATTATCTTATCTGAAACATTTATAATTTGCAGACCACCATAGTTTAGGTTGAAAAATAAGTAATTTTTTGGAGTGATTTTCTTGGTTTTAAAGGGGAAGGGGTATATTATTCAAATATTTGGCGCATTTCTGATCAATAGGCTTGCTACATGAAGTCAAATATAAAAATTATCGAAAATATTAAGTATAAATAAAAATTAAAGAAGTATCGATTATCAAATAACAAATAGGGAACATTTTTTTATTGTTCATTGAAGCGTTTATTTGAAAGTGATTTCACCACATTAGAGGGGATGCCTCTATGCCATGACCCCACTGTGTTAGCTTGTTTTTTTTTGAAAATGCAGGCTTATTATTTAAAAGGAACTATTATTGCTACGATGACAATTAGTTTCTTATACCTTTTCAATATGGTTACAATCTGTGTAAACATTAAAACATTTATTTTGAAACTTAAAGCCCGACTTGTAAAATCGTTGTGTATTGAAATTAATAAATAACAACGATACAAAACAAAAATATGAAGATAATTTAGTAGAAGATTTTTGAAATTGTAAGGTATCTTAAGTATTTATTGTTATTATGACGAACTAATTTTCTTTATAGAAGATATAAAAATTATTAAAAAATATACAATTTTGTTATTATAAAACTCTTGAGAATAAAATAATAACAAGTTTTAAGCAAGGCTTATAATCCTGATAAGTACTATGTGTGAATCAAAATTGTTGTTTATCAAAAACTTATGTATATTTTGTTTTATTGTTTGTGTAGAAACTAACTCAAATGTTTGAACTATTATGTGGCATGATTCTAAAACCCTGATATCCCAATAATTAGAGAGAATAACTATTATGTACATAAATTGTTCACAATATTATTCTATTAAATTTTCCCATACTCTTTTCTGAAAATTTTATAATTTGTAGTTCACCGTAGTTTTAAGTTGAAAAATAAGTTATATTTTGGGGTGATTTTCTTGGTTGTGAAGGGTAAGGGTTGAATGGAAGGGTCCAGAGCAAGAACCATGTATCTCCATATTTTGAAATTGTCCAGGGCAGCCAAAAGAAATTCCATTGTCCCATTTACCACTATTGGCGGGGAAAAATGCGTTTTGTAATATCTTTGTAGGTAGTTGTCCGATTTTATTGTTTGATGCACGAAAAGGTAAATAATTTTTCCATGAACATCTTCCCCACAAAAAAAACAACAATTTTTTATAAAATGTGGAATACCTGGTTCCTGCTCTGGACCCTTCAATTATTATAATGTTTGGCGCATTAAAGTACTATTTAAGTACGATTTCTGATCTATAACCTTGCTACATAAGAAATCGTAGTCAAATATAAAAATTATTACTCTATGTGGTGATCCATAGAAACTTACTCATAGTAGTATCAAAACAGATATTAGGTGCTCAGAAGCCAAACTGATTAACTCTATAAAATGAAATTTTTCAGGACAGACAGTTTAAGTTATTTGAAACAATGTATGTAAGTACAATTGCCAATGTACTTAGCGCACTCTAGTCGTGAAAATGTTACACGTTGTTACAATGTTACATGTTTTAAGTGTACACGTTAAAATAAATAAAAAGATAAGTAGGGATTTAGGTTAGAATTTAGAAATAAATAATTAGATCACTTAGAAATATATTTATTCACACGTTACTGACCATAATTAATTGTACATATAATAAATAAATAGTTAACACATATAGTATACGAAATAGGAGTATTGAAAATCCGAGCACAGTGATAAAGAAATTAATAATTTAAAATACAAGACATAATTTACAAAAAAAAATGCTTTGTCTATTTTAGAATGTGACATGGAGATGCGGTATGTTTAGCGTTGAAATGGTTGGTGTTGAATTTTCCTGAGCAATTTATTTAGTGAACCATTTTATGTCCATGGCTACAACATAAAAATATAAAATATACAAACAATGTGCACAACATTTTTTTAGATATTAGATATTTTAATTTTTAGAGTTTAAGATACATTTTTTTTTTCAAAACAATAATTTCATGCCCATTTGATGTATTGTTTATTATACAAAGTACTCACAGCTAGGTACATCTTCTTTTATTTGATCCTCTTCTAAAAAGATTTTAAAAAAAATAATGCTACTAGTAACGTAATGGATGCCTTGTGTTTGCTGTGTAATATAATAGATTTGTACACAAAATCATAATTTAAAAGTAAGACTTGATCAATATGTACATTTAAATCGATAGATTTAAAAAAAAACGTTTGTTTATGTTATTTTACAATATAGCAAAACATTAATTAAAAGATGTCTTCATTAAGAATAACTACAATTTAGTTCTAGAAAATAATGAATGTCTTATGTAAAATAGATCACCCTATGTATACATATAAAATAACAATAAATAGTTAATATTTGATATTTTAATAATTATCAATAGTTTAGAAAACATATGTACAGGTAAAAAGCGCTCTTACTTAGTTTAGGTGGATGATTAATCTTAGGCTGAGTACATTGAATGGTAGAAATCGAACCTAAGAAAAAACATGATATCGATAATGGTAGCTTTTAAGCATTTTAAGTTTTCTTTAATAAATACATAAATCATGTATAAAAATAATTATGAATTTTTACAAAAATATTACACTCTTTGATTGTATTGTTATACACACTGAGATTGCTGTATTTTTTCTGAAAATCTGCATAAAAGCACTAATTATTATACAGTGGTAATATTTATCAAAATGTGTTTTAATTTGTGTTATTAGTATTCTTTGTTAATTGATCATTAAAAAGGAAAGACAATATTAATAATAATTAAATATGTTTAACTAATAACTACATTTTCTATTAAAAATATTTTGAAATAATTATGTGTTCTTAAAAAAAACTCTAACAGGAAGTTTACCTTTTTCGACAGAACCGTCATCTCTAATAGCCTTGCCACGTTCTGCATTAAAAACATTAATTACAATACAAATGTCAGTACGATTTACTGGGTGTCTGGATTTTATACAAAATTAAAGTTTTTATTGATTGGTACATTCCCCAATATTTCATTATTGACAACTTCAGTAAAACATAATATTGTCCCTTATAGATACAGTATATTAATATTATTATACATGTTAATATATGTATTTTTTCATATTGTTTCCCGACTAAATTAAATATAAAAAATGTTTTTTTAAAATATAAGAAGTAAAAAAACCTCTTTAAAACTTCTAGTATACTTATTCTCACGTAGAGTCCAAAACTGATGTTCACTTACCTTTAGCTAAAAACAACAAAATTGTATTATTAATAATCAAACGTCAAAGGTTAAGTACTTGCAGAATCTTACAAAAAATGCTTTACATATTATTATTTATACCGTAGGCCAACAGAATTTTACAAATATGATATTTCTTTTTTTATAGTTTAAATGTTAACATTTTTTTTTTTTTTTGTATATTCTAATAGTTTATTAAAATGTATACCTCAAATATATTTTTATTTTTTAAAATAAATAACAAAAATTTTTAAAATCAAGTTTAATGTAAAGTTATTAAATTTTTTCAAGACAAAAAAAAGTTAGAAATATATAGAATTCTAAATTTTATTTTTAACTTTTGGAGGAAAAATTAACTAGACTTGTGTGAGGAAAACTGAGACTAAATGTCAGATTAGGGTTAATTTTCCAGTTCAGCGAAAAAATATTAGTTTTTATAAAAGTTATAAGATTTTTTTTAAATCCTGGTACAATATTTAAAATAAGAACATATTTTATTTTAAAACTTACGCTTCATTCCATAAACAGCTGAAACATGATAAATAGATTTTAATAATATTATACATTTATACATATATACATGAAACTTCATTTAATGGTTTTAAAATCTACAAGAAAATACCGAAAATTGTCTTTTTATCCAAATAATGTATTCTCAAGAGAATAACTAAAAATAAATAAATAAAGTTTTTTTGAATTGCCCTAATATATGTATATACATATTAGCAGTTCCGTATTATTATTGTACAGGGAGCGAGAAACGATACAATTATTTTAAAAAGGTATTTTTATTTGATATTATAGTGAATGAGTTTAGTTGTAACAAGTTTTCGACGTGGGAAATAGTCACTGACTCACCTAAGGTTATATCTGTCACTGACTCGTTTCTTAACGGTTAGCAAGGGCGCCCACAGATAGGGTCAGGAGGGAAACTTCTTTTCTAGCTTGTCTACAAGTTAAATCAATTATATCCAATATTCCAAATTGGAAAAATCTATTACAAAATTATAGGACGCTCTTGACGGTTAGGCGTGCTGGTTAGATATAAGCTTAACTAACTCTAGGTCAAGAGTTTTGGCTATAAGAAAGTTCCCTACTCAGATAATACTCAGGCTGTACCTACTTATCAAAACAGACTTCTAGTGTTGTGTGTGTGTTTATTGTGCACATTGCCTGATACCGTATACGACATTATAAAGAACATTTTGAACTTCTCTCGATATTTATGCATGTGCTTGTTACCTGTAGTAGTTGAAAGAATCACTGATACAGCTATAAGGAGACGAGAGCTTCTGAAATGCATTTTTTAAGACCTACACAAACTCTTCGAAAGAACACACTGAATGACACTAAATGTACATCAAGGTCTTGTGCACGATAATCTGACGATATGCATACCTTTTGCCATACATTTATCGTATGTGAATTGTATTTCAATGTAAACACAAAAAAAAAACATGTTTACACAGATTTCTTCCGTACATGAATCATCTGCGACTGTTAAAGTTGACTAAAATATCTCACACTAATACTGTACATTTGCAGCCTGATTTCTACATCTTCAATACGTCCATGCTCTTATTCGGCAGCCCAGAAATGGAAGATTATTGCACCAAGGGAGCGATATATAAGTAGTACTATGTATAATTTTCAAAACATCTCACATAAGTTAGAGATTGTTAATAAAAGGTTATAGCGTACACCTTACAATAAATAAAAATAAAACTATAATTTAGGTGTGAATCTAGAAACAAAGAATGAGATTTGTAAATAATATGTTTATTCACACATAACTGAGCATATTATATAATATGTAATAATAAATAAACGGTTAAAAACATATAATATTATGTGAAACAAGTTATTAGTAGAAAATGGAAAATTCGATAACAACAATAAAGAAATTAACGAATTACAGTACAAGACGTTATTGACATAAGAAAAGATTACATAAAGCATATAATTTAGAATGTGACCCGGAGCTTTGAAGTGTATGGTATCCAGTTTCACTTGGTACTCCACTCTGAAACAATGACTACAACATTAAATATAATTTCTAAATAATGACACAAAAAATAATAATAATACGTTTATAGAAAATAAGTATTGAAGCTTGACTAGTGTAGGGTATTGTATTTACACTATTCACACATCTTGCGGTTACTCCCACTTGGATAGTTTCTTGTTGTAATCAATATTCTGTTATCAATGTGGGAGTAACCGCAAGATGTGTAAATACTTTCATATAATCATACTTACATCGTTTCTACATCGTCGGGCAGCCTAAAAAATAAAATAAAAATATATTATTTGACAATAATAATATCAGAAACCTGGCAGTCTATAAGGTTTTTTATTTAATTAGTTTTATTAGATATTATTGTAATTATAATTTAAGATATTTTATTTTTCAAAATAATAATTTAGTGACCACGTCTTGGTTTAATGTGTATTATGTAAATAACTCACAGCTAGACTTGCTTTCACCTAAAAAAATAAAAAATAAAGTATTAGTTATTAATATAACGTTATATTTTATAATAATGACCAGCCAACAGAATAAACGAATATAAAAATAATTATAAACACAAATACACACACATATGTTTTAAATTCTTCTAAGTCCAAGTTTCTGAGACAGTACAATTAAAACTTTTTAGAAAGTTTCGCTTCCCAGCACCCTAGATCACTTTATGTGCTAGTAAGGACCGGTTGAAAGCCCTCAGAGTATGTTTAGAAAAGGAGTGGATAAGAACGGGACCATTTCCACAATGATCAAATTCAGTCAGATTAACTTGGACAGGATAGGATGGCCCATTCTCTAATAATGCATTTTGATGATTAAGCATTTAGCAGTAGTAGCAAGTATTAAATCCAGTCATTTATGTACAATTTTTAGATAATATGTTTTTAAAAAAAATTGTACTGGTCAAAAGTGCTCATACCTGGGTTTGGTGGCTGACGATAGGGTACATGTTGAGCTAAAATAATAAGTGTTATTAGTGATTTTTTAACTATACTGATTTATTATAATTTATAACAATTTAAAACACATAATTGACCAAATGTATTCTCTTAACTTGGTCAAGTTTTTGAACTGTATCCATGACCTAACTATGCGACACAGTTTTGTGCCACGAAACGAGGCGCGTAGATCCATTATAGAACTACAAAATTCAGAAGTCTTACAAAAAAAAGATTAATTGCAGTCTACTGAGTATAATTTTAAGATAATACGTTTCCAAATATACTTGTTAAAAATGTTAGGTAATATACCTATCTCCAAATATATTTGTTAAAAATGTTATTAAAAAAGATTCACTCAGCTCTGAAAAATTTTGATACATGCTTTATCTTCTAGGTTATGAGTTGTATTTGTAAATTATTAGTGTATAGTGTTCAATATTCTACAAAATAATAAATGTACTAGTCGAAAGTGCTCATACTTGGTTTGGCTGGATTATGAATCTCATTATGTACACCTAAAATAAAAGTATTATTAGGCGCCTTAAAATGTTTAGAACTTTATTAATTTATTACAATTGAAGATTTATAAATTAACAAATGTTTTGAGCTCCATTTTTAAACTAATAGTGTTATAATAACTAATATATCTAATTGTCAAAACCCAGGATCATTTTATGTACAAATTTGCTCTTTTTTATAACGTTTTTATTTATGTATTTTGTTTCCTTGATTTACTGGCCGTTAAGGCCTTTTGCAGCTTCTATCAAGTTCATTCACTTGTCACGGTTTATTGCAGTCTCGAAATTTGCTGTTCCATCTACCATTTTTATGTGTTCATTCACTCTATTTCGCCACCATTTCACGGGCCTGTGTCCGATTGGGCGTGAGTAAGCTAAGTACACTTTTTACTTTGACGCCCTTTGTAACATTATTGACCTCAACAATTTATTCAGTAAAAAATGTGCAAGATTTCGTCCTAAGTTATTCTATATAGTTTAATTAATTATGATATGTTTTTTTTTTATAAAAGCGTTACCCTTATACAAATATTCAACCGCTAAAGTACTTTGAAATTAATAATTCTTACAAAAGTATGATTACAGATTTATGTGTATGATTTTCTTAGGTAATATACCTATCTCCAAATATATTTGTTAAAAATGTTATTAAAAAAGATTCACTCAGCTCTGAAAAATTTTGATACATGCTTTATCTTCTAGGTTATGAGTTGTATTTGTAAATTTTTAGTGTAATAGTATTCAATATTCTACGAAATAATAATTGTACTAGTCGAAAGTGCTCATACTTGGTTTGGCTGGATGTTGAATCTCATTATGTACACCTAAAATAAAAGTATTATTAGGCGCCTTAAAATGTTTAGAACTTTATTAATTTATTACAATTGAAGATTTATAAATTAACAAATGTTTTGAGCTCCATTTTTAAACTAATAGTGTTATAATAACTAATATGTCTAATTGTCAAAACCCAGGATCATTTTATGTACAAATATTCTCTTTTTTATAACGTTTTTATTTATGTATTTTGTTTCCTTGATTTACTGGCCGTTAAGGTCTTTTGCAGCTTCTATCAAGTTCATTCGCTACACACGGTTTATTGCAGTCTCGTAATTTGCTGTTCCATCTACCATTTTTATGTGTTCATTCACTCTATTTCGCCACCATTTCACGGGCCTGTGTCCGATTGGGCGTGAGTAAGCTATGTACATTTTTTACTTTGACGCCCTATGTAACATTATTGACCTCAACAATTTATTCAGTAAAAAATATGCAAGATTTCATCCTAAGTTATTTTATATAGTTTAATTAATTATGATATGTTTTTTTTTATAAAAGCGTTACCCTTATACAAATATTCAACCGCTAAAGTACTTTGAAATTAATAATTCTTACAAAAGTATGATTACAGATTTATGTGTATGATTTTCTTAGGTAATATACCTATCTCCAAATATATTTGTTAAAAATGTTATTAAAAAAGATTCACTCAGCTCTGAAAAATTTTGATACATGCTTTATCTTCTAGGTTATGAGTTGTATTTGTAAATTTTTAGTGTAATAGTATTCAATATTCTACGAAATAATAATTGTACTAGTCGAAAGTGCTCATACTTGGTTTGGCTGGATGTTGAATCTCATTTTGTACACCTAAAATAAAAGTATTATTAGGCGCCTTAAAATGTTTAGAACTTTATTAATTTATTACAATTGAAGATTTATAAATTAACAAATGTTTTGAGCTCCATTTTTAAACTAATAGTGTTATAATAACTAATATGTCTAATTGTCAAAACCCAGGATCATTTTATGTACAAATATTCTCTTTTTTATTACGTTTTTATTTATGTATTTTGTTTCCTTGATTTACTGGCCGTTAAGGTCTTTTGCAGCTTCTATCAAGTTCATTCGCTACACACGGTTTATTGCAGTCTCGTAATTTGCTGTTCCATCTACCATTTTTATGTGTTCATTCACTCTATTTCGCCACCATTTCAAGGGCCTGTGTCCAATTGGGCGTGAGTAAGCTAAGTACATTTTTTACTTTGGCGCCCTTTGTAACATTATTGACCTCAACAATTTATTCAGTAAAAAATATGCAAGATTTCATCCTAAGTTATTTTATATAGTTTAATTAATTATGATATGTTTTTTTTTATAAAAGCGTTACCCTTATACAAATATTCAACCGCTAAAGTACTTTAAAATTAATAATTCTTACAAAAGTATGATTACAGTTTTATGTGTATGATTTTCTTAGGTAATATACCTATCTCCAAATATATTTGTTAAAAATGTTATTAAAAAAGATTCACTCAGCTCTGAAAAATTTTGATACATGCTTTATCTTCTAGGTTATGAGTTGTATTTGTAAATTTTTAGTGTAATAGTATTCAATATTCTACGAAATAATAATTGTACTAGTCGAAAGTGCTCATACTTGGTTTGGCTGGATGTTGAATCTCATTTTGTACACCTAAAATAAAAGTATTATTAGGCGCCTTAAAATGTTTAGAACTTTATTAATTTATTACAATTGAAGATTTATAAATTAACAAATGTTTTGAGCTCCATTTTTAAACTAATAGTGTTATAATAACTAATATGTCTAATTGTCAAAACCCAGGATCATTTTATGTACAAATATTCTCTTTTTTATTACGTTTTTATTTATGTATTTTGTTTCCTTGATTTACTGGCCGTTAAGGTCTTTTGCAGCTTCTATCAAGTTCATTCGCTACACACGGTTTATTGCAGTCTCGAAATTTGCTGTTCCATCTACCATTTTTATGTGTTCATTCACTCTATTTCGCCACCATTTCAAGGGCCTGTGTCCAATTGGGCGTGAGTAAGCTAAGTACATTTTTTACTTTGGCGCCCTTTGTAACATTATTGACCTCAACAATTTATTCAGTAAAAAATATGCAAGATTTCATCCTAAGTTATTTTATATAGTTTAATTAATTATGATATGTTTTTTTTTATAAAAGCGTTACCCTTATACAAATATTCAACCGCTAAAGTACTTTAAAATTAATAATTCTTACAAAAGTATGATTACAGTTTTATGTGTATGATTTTCTTAGGTAATATACCTATCTCCAAATATATTTGTTAAAAATGTTATTAAAAAAGATTCACTCAGCTCTGAAAAATTTTGATACATGCTTTATCTTCTAGGTTATGAGTTGTATTTGTAAATTTTTAGTGTAATAGTATTCAATATTCTACGAAATAATAATTGTACTAGTCGAAAGTGCTCATACTTGGTTTGGCTGGATGTTGAATCTCATTATGTACACCTAAAATAAAAGTATTATTAGGCGCCTTAAAATGTTTAAAACTTTATTAATTTATTACAATTGAAGATTTATAAATTAACAAATGTTTTGAGTTCCATTTTTAAACTAATAGTGTTATAATAACTAATATGTCTAATTGTCAAAACTTAGGATCATTTTATGTACAATTTTTAGATAATGTGTTTCCAAATATATTTGTTAAAAATATGCACAGATCTGATGAAACTTTGGATAAATTCTTTACTTTTTAGGCAATCAGATGTATTTAGAGTGTAATAATAATCAATGTTCTAAAAAAAATTGTACTGGTCAAAAGTGCTCATACCTGGGTTTGGTGGCTGACGAAAGGGTACATGTTGAGCTAAAATAAAAAGTGTTATTAGTGATTTTTTAACTATACTGATTTATTATAATTTATAACAATTTGAAACACATAATTGACCAAATGTATTTTTTTAACTTGGTCAAGTTTTTTAACTATATCCATGACCTAACTATGCGACACAGTTTTGTGCTACGAAACGAGGCGCGTAGATCCATTACAGAACTACAAAATTCAGAATTCTTACAAAAAAAGATTAATTGCAGTCTACTGAGTATAATTTTAAGATAATACGTTTCCAAATATACTTGTTAAAAATGTTATTAAAAAAGATTCACTCAGCTCTGAAAAATTTTGATACATGCTTTATCTTCTAGGTTATGAGTTGTATTTGTAAATTATTAGTGTATAGTGTTCAATATTCTACAAAATAATTGTACTAGTCGAAAGTGCTCATACTTGGTTTGCCTGAATAATGAATCTCATTATGTACACCTAAAATAAAAGTATTATTAGGCGCCTTAAAATGTTTAGAACTTTATTAATTTATTACAATTGAAGATTTATAAATTAACAAATGTTTTGAGCTCCATTTTTAAACTAATAGTGTTATAATAACTAATATATCTAATTGTCAAAACCCAGGATCATTTTATGTACAAATTTGCTCTTTTTTATAACGTTTTTATTTATGTATTTTGTTTCCTTGATTTACTGGCCGTTAAGGTCTTTTGCAGCTTCTATCAAGTTCATTCGCTACACACGGTTTATTGCAGTCTCGAAATTTGCTGTTCCATCTACCATTTTTATGTGTTCATTCACTCTATTTCGCCACCATTTCACGGGCCTGTGTCCGATTGGGCGTGAGTAAGCTAAGTACACTTTTTACTTTGACGCCCTTTGTAACATTATTGACCTCAACAATTTATTCAGTAAAAAATGTGCAAGATTTCGTCCTAAGTTATTCTATATAGTTTAATTAATTATGATATGTTTTTTTTTTATAAAAGCGTTACCCTTATACAAATATTCAACCGCTAAAGTACTTTGAAATTAATAATTCTTACAAAAGTATGATTACAGATTTATGTGTATGATTTTCTTAGGTAATATACCTATCTCCAAATATATTTGTTAAAAATGTTATTAAAAAAGATTCACTCAGCTCTGAAAAATTTTGATACATGCTTTATCTTCTAGGTTATGAGTTGTATTTGTAAATTTTTAGTGTAATAGTATTCAATATTCTACGAAATAATAATTGTACTAGTCGAAAGTGCTCATACTTGGTTTGGCTGGATGTTGAATCTCATTATGTACACCTAAAATAAAAGTATTATTAGGCGCCTTAAAATGTTTAAAACTTTATTAATTTATTACAATTGAAGATTTATAAATTAACAAATGTTTTGAGCTCCATTTTTAAACTAATAGTGTTATAATAACTAATATGTCTAATTGTCAAAACCCAGGATCATTTTATGTACAAATATTCTCTTTTTTATAACGTTTTTATTTATGTATTTTGTTTCCTTGATTTACTGGCCGTTAAGGTCTTTTGCAGCTTCTATCAAGTTCATTCGCTACACACGGTTTATTGCAGTCTCGTAATTTGCTGTTCCATCTACCATTTTTATGTGTTCATTCACTCTATTTCGCCACCATTTTACGGGCCTGTGTCCGATTGGGCGTGAGTAAGCTAAGTACATTTTTTACTTTGACGCCTTTTGTAACATTATTGACCTCAACAATTTATTCAGTAAAAAATGTGCAAGATTTCGTCCTAAGTTATTCTATATAGTTTAATTAATTATGATATGTTTTTTTTTTATAAAAGCGTTACCCTTATACAAATATTCAACCGCTAAAGTACTTTGAAATTAATAATTCTTACAAAAGTATGATTACAGATTTATGTGTATGATTTTCTTAGGTAATATACCTATCTCCAAATATATTTGTTAAAAATGTTATTAATAAAATTAATAAAATTGTTTACAAAAAAAAAATAAAATTCTAGGTCGTAATTTAATAGATTTTCTTATAAACTAATAATTACATAAAAGTATTTATGAATTCTTATAAAACAGGACCAGATCTTCCTATTTTCTTTCTACTGCTACTGTTACTACTACTACCATCTGTGTAAAAAAAAAATTTACAACACAAAGGTATGCCAAATCCATTTGCAAGGTGAAATTTATATCTCATGTGTTTAGCTGACACTTGATTTGTTTTTATTATTAAAGATACAAAAAGTACTATTCGTATGATTTTTCAATTTTTTTTATTTTGCTATTATGTTTACTAATTGTATGTTGTTAAATTCGCAACACCATAAAAAAAACCATCTTCATAAAACTAATACCTTCTCAGCTGTTGCATCGAAGCTAATACATTTTCCCAGACTGAATCAACAATAAAACTTAACAAATCAAGAACAAAATGTATATACTATAGTTGTGTTTTGTTTTTGTATGGATTCGGCTTTAGAACTTGTTATTTTAAAACTAATAATGATTACTCTGTACAACTAAATTTTCTTTTTTTTTCTTTTCTGAATTTAACCTTGTTTAATAAGTAATGGAGTGTTTCAATTTTTTTTTTAGTTATAAAGAAATTATAGCACCTGTTAAATAGTTCCACACTGTATACGTTAATGTGTTTATTTAAAACTTACCGTCCATTCCATCAACAGCTAAAACATAAAAAATACATTTTAATATAAAAATATGTATCAGTAATTTTATAGTATTATAATAATTATTATGATAGTTTTATTTATTTTTTTTTTTTTTGTGTTTATTACCTGAATTTATTACCAACATTGTAACAAACGTTATTTCCAGAAGGCAAAATATATTTTTGAAATTCATACTTCAATCGTCTATACTTTTGTTTTGAATGAGAACCTAAAAATGTATTTTAAAAGTGGAAATCAACATGAACGTTAAGCACTAAAGCTAAGGCCCCACTGAAAGCAATTTGCGTATGAGCGACTCCGCGATTTTATACGCCAGATGTCCACCAGCGATTTTGGTGGGGACACTTTAGCGTTTTTTTTATGTCGCGCGTGTTCATTTCTACATTCATTTTCAAATGTATTTTAGGTCATTAACATCCGAGCTCTATTTTTATTTATTTTATTACTAGTATTAAAACATATAATTTATAATAACTAATTTAAAAAACATAAATATATAACATTAAATATTTAAATTACCATCAATTTTATCAATTTTAAGGTTTTGTCCTATAACAGACCTACAACATCTCAGGACTTTGTTTCGATTTTTGTATGTCTCGGATTCCATATGGGTTCTTGTAGGTATACAGCAGCAGCAATTTGTTCTGACAGAACCGACGATGATACCATTTTAACAGCGATTAATCGCCGAAAATCAAACAATTTTGTTTTTCAGCGATTCTCGCGCGTGCAGCTAAAATCGTAAATCGCTACACGCGGTCAGTGGAGACACTACATATTTATTTCTTTACTGTTGATAAAATCGCTAAATCGCCAACACGCTACACGCTATCGCAAAAACGCAAATCGCTCTCAGTGGGGCCTTAGCTTAAGAGAGTAAAATATTGTTAGGACAGCGATATGCTTAGATACCTTGTACGAGTACAGTATACTTGAGAGTGACGAGAGCCTCTTTTTGTGTTTACAATCGAAAACACATACTTGCTATATTTTTTTGTTACTATTTCAAAATCAAATTTTTGATAGACGGACGGGTTTCAGGCGACACAACACCGACATTGACAAGTTATTATGTTTGCAATGTACAACCGAGTTTTTAAGAAATACTTACACAGCTCGTATCTATGTGTTATTATGACATACTACGACTCGTTTGAAAACTACAACTTTTAATGGAAAATATTGGAAATTTGGATAAACATTTTATATGGAACACATTATTTTACCTACTAAATTTCAACCAAAAAACCTGTACAGTTGGGTCGAGGCATTGTGAGTCTACCGGTTTATTTTTAGTTATATTTTTTATTACTAGCCCTAAACTAACCTAGAAAACGATAACGGTCAAAGTTTACACATTTCGCTAAACAGGAATTTTTCCGTTTAAGGGCATTTTTCTCCAACTGAAGTACATAATATTTGTTAAAATATACATTATTTTCCACTGTATTTTTCTTCATTCGCAAAATATATATTAAGTTTAAGAAAAACACGCCAATTCAACGGAAAATAAATGTACAAAATTGTTTTTTTTTTTAATGTGTGGAATCTTATTGATATAAATCGTATCATTTTAGGCTAAAGATAAATAACACCTATACATATTTTTTAGCTGCTAAAGAAGCGTTTGGTTTTTCAGGCAATTGTACAAACGTTGATCCAACGTCAAAAGAATATAGGAATATACATTTAAACGTGAATTCCTGTTACTTGTGTATTTGAAAAAAATATATTGGTAACATTTTCAATTTATAAAACCATTGCGTTCGCATTTTGTTTTTACACCTATATATCTTGTTATTGTAGACATTCAAAGGTTTAATAAATAAGTCATAGGTCGATAAATACTTTTGTGGACTCCGTTGATATTAAGTTAAAATCAGTACAGTCCAAACCGTGCACGTTTAAAAAAAAAAAAATAATTATATATGTAAATAATATATTAATTCACACATAACTGACCATATTGTATTGTATACTATTGTAAAATGAATAAACGGTTTAAAAAATATAACATGTAAAATATGTTATAGCGAAAAATGGAAAGTCTGATCACAATAGTGAAGAAATTAACCAATTACATTACAATATAATTTAGAATGTGACCCGGAGCTTTGAAATGTATGGTATCCAGTTTCACTTGGTACTCCACTCTGAAACAATGACTACAACATTATATATCATTTCCAAATAATTTCCACAAAAAAAAAATTAATACGTTTATAGAAAATAAGTATTGAAGCTTGACTAGTGTAGGGTATTGTATGTACAGTATTCACACATCTTGCGGTTACTCCCACTTGGATAGTTTCTTGTTGTAATCAATCTTGTGTTATCAATGTGGGAGTAACCGCAAGATGTGTAAATACTTTCATATAATCATACTTACATCGTTTCTACATCGTCGGGCAGCCTAAAAAATAAAATAAAAATATGTTATTTGACAATAACAATATAAGAAACCTGGCAGCCTATAAGGTTTTTATTTAATTAATTTTATTAGATATTATTGTAATTATAATTTAAGATATTTTATTTTTCAAAATAATAATTTAGTGACCACGTCTAGGTTGTACGTGTATAACTTACAGCCATTCTTGCTTTCATCTGAAAAATAAAAATAAAAGTATTAGCTATTATATAACGTTATATTTTATAATAATGATCAGCCAACAAAATAAACGAATATAAAAATAATTATAAAAACAAATACACACACACATCTTTTAAATTCTTCTAAGTCTAAGTTTCTGAGACAGTACATTCAAAACTTTTTAGAAAGTTTCGCTTCCCAGAATCCTAGATCACTTTATGTGCTAGTAAGGACCGTTTGAAAGCCTTCAGAGTATGTTTAAAAAAGGAGTCGATAAGAACGGGACAAATATATGGGTAAAAGAATATTATTAAGGGCCTTAAAATGTTTAGAACTATATTAATTTATTAAAAGAACAAATGTTTTGAGCTCCATTTTTAAACTTACTAATAGTGTTATAATAACTAATTGTCTAATTGTCAAAAATGCTCATACTTGGCTTAGGTCCATTTTGAGGGTTATGACGAGCTACAAAAAAAAAATACACTATTAGTAGTTTGTACACCTTTTTTTAAACTATCAAAATTTTTTTGTAATTTATAACAATTAATGTTATATAATTTAACAAATATTTTTTGAACATGGATATGTTTTTGAGCTGGATACACGACTAAAATTTGCGACACGGTTTTGTGCCACGAAAAAAGACTCATCGACCATTTAAGCTTTTAATATTCATGGCACAAATATTTTCGCCAACCAAAACCCAGGATCACTTAATGTACAAATTTTCTGTTATTTTATATTGCCTATATAATTATGTTCTATTATATTTTTACTGACAGCCTAAAAATAAAATAAAATGTTAATTGACAATAATAAATTGAGAAATCTAGCAAATTAATTTTATTAGATATTATTGTAAATAGAATTTAAAATATTTTTTTTTTCAAAATAATAATTTAATGACCCCGTAACATAAATACATTACATCATATTTATGCAAATAACTCACAGCTAGGTATCTTTTTATTTACAGTGCCTGAAAAATCGAAAAAAGTATTAGTTATATTATATAACGTTGTATTTTATAATTATGATCTGTCAGTCAAATTAACAAACCTAAAAAGAATTATAAACACACACATGTTTTAAATTCTAAGTCTAAGTTTCTGAGACAGTACATTAAAATTTTTTTAGAAAGTTTCTCTTCCCAGCATCCTAGATCACCTCATGTGCTAGTAAGGACCGTTTAGAAGCCTTCAGAGTATGTTTAGAAAAGGAGTGGATAAGAACGGGACCATTTCCACAATGATCAAGTTCCGTCGGAGTAACTTGGACAAGGACAAGACGGCCCAATCTCTAATGATGCAGACGGCATTAAACATTTAGCAGTAGTAGTAACAAGTACTAATGCAGTCTTTTATGTACAACTTTTAGACAATATATTTGTTAAAAATATGCTCAGCTTTGGAGAATTTGGATACATGCATTACCTTTTAGGCAATGAGTTGAATTTGTAAATTAATAATGTAATATTAATCAATATACTAAAAAAAATATTGTACTGGTTAAAAGTGCTCATACCTGGGCTGCTAGGTGGCCGACTGAAGACTACATGTTGAACTAAAATATAAACTATTATTAGTGGTTTTTAAACTTTTATTTTTAAACTATACTGATTTATTATAATGTATAACAATTTAATTAACGACATTTTTTTAACTGGGATATTTTTTCGAACTGTATTGTAATAGTGTAATAATAATCAATATTCTACAAAATATGTATACTAGTCAAACGTGCTCATACTTAGCGTAGATGGAGGATTATTTTTCGGACTTGCTACAAAAAAAAAGTACACTATTAATGGTTATGTTTAAAAGGTTACACGTATACATCTATTCAACCGTTAAAGTATTCAAAGTTCTAAATTCTTACAACATTCAATTAGAGCCTTAAATGCACTATATTTAGATAATACTTTTTCAATTGATTATTTGTTAAAAATGTTATTAACAAAGAATAAACTTTGTTTCACTCTAGAAAATTTGAATAAATGATTTATCTTTTAGGTTTTAAATTGTATTTTTTAATTAATAGTGTTTTATAACTAATATTCAAAATATGTCTAATTGTCAAATGTGGTCCTACTTGGCCTAGATGGAGAACGAGTGTTACAACGAGCTAAAAAATAAATATATATATTAGTAGTTATAAACTTTTTTTTGAAAACTATGTTAATTCATTAAAATGTATAACAAGTAAACATATAAAATTTAACAAAATATATTTTTTTTAAATATTATGTAACTTTCAAGAGTGGAGGGAATAGATCACAAATAGATTGTTTAATATGGAGGAGAGAGAGTATAAAGTAGTGTACGGATTGTAAAGTAATTCCAAGTGAAAGTGTGGTAACACAGCACAGGTGGTTGTAGATGTCTGATGTGAAAGAAAAAGAGTGAACAAGAGATATAGGCAGATCAATAAAGAGCCAAAAATTAGATGGTGGAAGTTTAAGAGTGAAAAAAAAGTGTTTCATAAAGAAAACGGAGGAAGAAGTTGTGTGGAGCAAGGAGGGAAAAGGCGAGGCAGAGGCAGTGAGAGTTGAAGAAAAGCTCGATAGACGGAAACAGGGTGATATAAGAATAGCAGGGACAATTGAACGAGATGTAGAAGATCCAGCTCTATGAAGGTGTAGGACTAGGGTGGCCAACCC